AAGAAATGTCATGCTGTGGACGGAACATTAGAGGAAATTGAAGTTTTTTCATTTTCAGAAGTCAATCAGAAAATTAGAAATCTGAATATTTGTTGTCTTTTTCTTGCTATAGTGGCACCATTGGCGCGCTCATCTCCGCTGTATCATCGAGCTGTTGCCTTCTACCATGCATATTGCTATTGAAGGAATACCCATGGTCGATGAGAATGTGAAAGCGCTGACTGGGCATCTTGCCCTTCTGTCATCTGGTGAGCTCCCATACACTTCTCGCGAAATGCTTGCCTTGTTCGTGCTGGAATATATGTTTTCTTTTTATTATAAAAAGTTGCACACGACTCAGCGTAGGAGTATACAAGAACTCCTACAGAGCTTCCTTGTTGTTACGTACTAGTAAACTAAGAGAATGGCTTCCAAAAGCTACTGGTTATCCGGGTGCACACGTGTTGAGAATATGTTACAAATTGTAGCATTTTCTCCACACGCGTGTAGTTGACGATGTGTTCCATACACCTCTCCTGAGATTCAATAGCTCTCTCCGGATTTGAGCTAACATTCAAAACTCGATCCTGGAACTCAGGAGAGGCCCATTTAACATCCCGTGAACATGTAAATATTTTCCCAAATCACTTTTTCATTTTTCAGCTATCTCCTGTGCCCTCTTCTGGCTGGACCGTTCCGTTCTGTCCACTCCCATAACCCAACCATCCCCGCCACCCCTCATTCTGTTACTCCTGTGAGTGCACACATCATCAACCCGCGTTATTCAGGGCTAGATACGGTCTGCTACCATCATCGAATTTGACCATGTGTCTCATCTCACTTGATAGCGTTGGCCTTATACACCGTTATCAAGGAGTTGTCGAGTGGAGTCTCATCGCGGTCTGGCTATTCATGAGGGAGCAGGCGCTTATACTGGCGGGACGGGAACTAAGTATTTTTCCTAACGCATTCAAAGACTGTCACTAGAGGCATTGAAAGTGATTTCATTTACTTGCGGGTCATTTTTCGATTCTCCGGCAGAAATGTGTGTTGAAATATGTGTTTGCGTCCCTCAGCTCAGCTGAGCTCAGAAGTTTCTCCACACTTTATATGAGGGATGTGCATATTTTCCCACACTAGTTAGCCGCGTTATCATCGCCACGAGATGCGAACTCGATGGAAAACTAAGCATGTTTCAACTTGTCAAGACGATTTAGAAAACTGCCCGCCCATTTAGCGTGTGCTGTACAGATGTGTGAATATCCAATGACGCAAGATTGAGCTCAGGGTTCGGCGCATTGGCGTCAACGTTGTTCTGTGCCGTCGTCATCACGTGGTTGATAGAGGGCGCAGTGCTGCATAACGCGACTCTGGAGTCCGTCAAGAATTGGAAATACGTCTTGGCGTTCATTAACTGTGCCGTTTTGTTGCCATTTTTGATTGTGAAAACTCCCATGCTACGTAGCTTGCGGACAGTTCAGCATGCAAAGCCGTGATAGCTTCTCGATACGAAACCGCGTATTTGACCTGTTGTTAGTGCTCCCTAAAATTCAAGGCTGGTTCGCAAGGATGTTGCGAGGAGTTGTAACCTGTACGCCTTCGAAGATATGGTGCCTTCTAATGCACTATTGATTGAGCAACTTCTTACTGCGAGAGTACAATTACAGTTTAAAACTGTAGGGCTTTTGATCATTATAAGTCTTCAACACATATGCCTAACACGCGAGATTTTACGTCTAGCAACATCTCTGCTAGTTCGCACGTTCATCATGTAGATGAACATCATCATCCGCAGCAAGCTCATGCGGGTCGTACGGGTCTCTGCTAACGAGAAGGGGTCAATTACTCGGTGGTGATTCACTCAAGGGTGACTGGGGAGCTCACAATAACGGATGACATAAAATGATCGTGTGGTCATTACTGACTGCTAAGCTAGACCTAGACTCTAATATCCAATGGATATTATCCGTCCCAAGATCAGGCCTTGAAGAAAGAGACATATTATTAGTAACAATGATGAGTAGCTTGAGAACAGGGTTATCACAGACAATATGTATCATCATCTCTTGTCTAGGCCTCAGCACAGCTGTTAGATATCGTGCAAAAGGAGGACCATGAGCAGAGTAGAGAAAGATTCTAGCCATACGACGTTAAGACACTCGTCACACTACGAGGATCATTGTGTTGATAACTTATCAATATACTACCTTATCATTGATAAGGCAATGCTATGTGGTGGTGCATCCTCGAGAACCTCACTAGTACGGCAAGAACATATTCCGGATTTCCAAAATCCATAACTTGTATCTGATGAATACAAGGATCTTGCGAATTAATAGCCCATTTAACTCAGCATAATGACTCGTGCATCAACCCAGAACAGGAAGCAAATGGGAACATCTTTTAAAGTTTCAACTAAACTAACGATTCTCGCTATTATCATAGTCAGTCTGAATGTAACAGGCTTGGCCCATTGGCTTACCAAACGGAGTATCAACAATGTAGCTGCTCTTGATCGGCATCACACCATCAAAGTTCCTTCAGACCTCGGTGACAGTGAAGAGCTTGGGAGAATCTGTTGCGTCTTTGAGTAGCGAATCACTGGATGTTGCTACTACTGGGACCCCTGCTTATCTCAGAGCAGCACCTAAGTGAACTTGGAAATGCAACATCGTCTTTGAGAAAAGAAACCTACAAGGGCAGAGAGGAACAAGCTGAGGTTAGACGAGCTCTAAATCGACTCAGCCGTGACGCCACTGGTGAGAACTTTATTGGTAGCTTCGTGACTCGTGCGTCGTGAAATTACTATTTTCAAGTGTTGGAATATAATATTTTCAATATTTGCTCGCTTTCCTCCGCTGACCTGCTCACACTGAGTCAGCGTGAGCTCAGTGCCTTATTCAATTTCTTCACTAATTATAGAAGTTCGCATATTTGGGTAGGAATGCACGGAAAGTTTCTGTCCATCTCTACATCCTGTTGGTTTTTGTGACAGAAATTCTATCAAAAACCAACAAGGATTTCCCGAAATTTTCTCAGAATTTTAACATGTGGTTGACCATGTGCATATTTTCTCACACTACTATTTTCCCAGGCTCGGACTCATCGTCCATAATCAACGAGCTAACTACGCTTGAAGAAGCGAGTAAATACAATTTCGACCAGCTTGAGAAATCCATATCCACTGTGGGAGAGGAAATACGATCACATGCGAATATGTTGCTGACCCAAAAGATTGACTACGAAATGTATGTCTTACGGTGAAACCGCAGAAAGCAACACATCATGTCTAGGTTGGCGGAATTCCGTAGTTCACTACGCAGCCGGTTGGCAAATATGGAAAAGAAATTCCAGGAAAAGATTGCAAGTCTGGAGACCCTTGAGGCCTCTAGACATTCCGTGGATGATTCGAGAGACATCGAGAAACTGCGAAAAAGGGTGTGTTTTTACACGGTATGAAAACCCCTTGAGAACGATTACAGATGCACGAGCAAGAAATGCAGCTCCAAGCGATCGATGGGCAGAGGCAACATCAAGAGTTGGAAACGAAACATGCGGTTGGCGTCCTCGCGAATAATTATGTGAAGTTATCGACGTTTCAGATCGAAAACCGAATATTCCAGCCTGACTGGTAGTACGATGAAGTAAGCGAGGAATGAGCATGTTGGTATGATCATTGTGTCTTCCGCGAAGTGTCGAGCAAATAGTCAGGGTTTCGAAACATTTATTGTATCGGAGGCCCCTTAGACTCGGTCGAAAGTCGAATCGACTGTCATATTGTGGCAGAACTTAGTATCTCATTTCGGACTAATTTAGCCAGGTTAGATTCTGCGGGCGTTATTGCTCAGTTTTGATTATCAAAACGTTTGGTTCGGACCCGACCCACAACGCCGCACAGTTGCGGGAAATTCTGGGGTTCGTAACATGAAGTTCCCGACAAGGAACATTACCCATCCCAATCTACGAAATTCGTAGTTGGGAGGGCCCATCCTGCGCCACAATTCCCATAGGGCGCATACCGAGTCGAAATAACAAGTAGTGTCATGCTGACATACTAACATGATACGTTGATTGTGCGACTCGCAGGATTCTGGTACCTAGTATCCCCTGTGTAAGGAGTTGTAATATCCTTGCAGAGGATGTTAGTGATTTGAGGAGAGTTGCTGGGGACATCGTGCGCCCGAGAGAAATACAATGTCCCAAATATCATCACAGCAACACTATCGCGAGTGATGTATCATTGATTCATGAAAGCTTCGAAGTTGCTATCGCTGGCAGCGATTCGCTGCGATAGCAACTTCGATGATACACATTCCATCTTCACTGCAGGGTGCTGATGATTTTTATGGTTCCCAACTCGTTCATGGCGTGCTATAATGATGGGGACCAAGGCGTAATCCTCAAGGGTCTCTAGATTCTAGAGACAGATTTCTAGAGTCTAGGAATCGAGGAGGTAGCTTGTCTTTTTTATCGAGTACTTGATGAATTGGTATAGACTTGCTTCGGATTGTCTTTGCTCTTCACTTGCTTGTTATGGTTGGCGAGGAAGATGGGATGAATTCGCCTTAGGTCAACCCTCAGGCCAAGAGTTGTCTCCCGACTGGCGCTCACCCAAGGCGCAGAAAAGCCTTTTGTATATGCGTGCAGCTGAGTAAGGACATACCTAATGGCCGAAGACCCAAACTAACATCCATAGTGCAAGGATAAGTTTTCCCAGTGACTTACGCTGAATAAATGAGTGGGAATGCTAGGGTTGCAAATGGTGCACACAGAGTAACGAGACACGATGTCCAAGTAATGCTTGACCACAGCATGTTGCACGTATGCGCATGCGAGATCATGGCGCGATATCCTCCCATTCCTAGTAGGGATTTCTTACCACTCATGCGTAAATCCAGATGGATGAGTGATTCTGTTACAGATCTTGACTCATGGCAAACTTGGGAATCAGGCTTCAATATTCTCCAATGATCAAAATGTCATCGAATTCTGCAATCTGGAGAGCTCGGCGCCCACACAGCTCAACGGTGGCCCTCACGCTCCTCAGCATGGGGTTGTTTAGTGCTGGATGCTCTAGCAGCACATCAAGTACCACCCCCAGCCCAACGACCGCGGCACCGGTCCCCAGCAGTTGTGTGTCGTTGTCTCCTGCTCACCTGGCACACAGTTACGATCCTGTCAAGGTCACTTGGCATCAGTCGGTCAACGATGGTGATACTATAGACTTTGTGCTGAAAAGTACATCTGATCCTTTCCAGGGCAGCGCCTTCAGGATACTACTATCAGCCCTGAACGGGACCAATGAATATACAGTGAACCTTGTGAACCCTCGTGGTGGCGCTGGGTATAAGGTCAGCTATCGTACAGCTGACGGTGACGAGGTTTGTTCAACAGACTTGGCCTTCGCTCAAGGTGAAGATGAACCAGCACAAGCTTATCTCACAGTCTTCGGTGATGATAGTCTCCAAGTGAATTGGGTCAG